GAGGGAGGGGCGACTTTGTCCGCGGCTCCGCCCAAATGATTTAAACTGGCTTTCTATACATTTTTTTCCAACTCAGAATAACAATAACTACTGTGCTTCAAAGTAAAAAAATAAAAAAATTAAAAAATTAAAAAATAAAAAAATAAAAAAAAAACCAGCAACAACAGTAATGATAATTATGATAAGCTGATGCTGCTACAACTTCTACTGCTGCTGCTGCTACTACTATTACTATTACTATTACTATTACTATTACTATTAATATGATTATTACTATTACAATTAATATTAGTCCCTAAACCACTAACAATCTTTCACCTACAAAAGATTGAACAAAAGATCACTGCATCGGAGGCGCCAAAATTTAATTGTATAATTGGAGGGCGCAGATCATAGCTATTTTGCCAAAGATTAGACTCACACTGACGCAAAATGAAGGAACAAGTTTTCTGTCGGATAAAGAGGAAAAATTATTGCGTTAAAAAAAACATAAGGCGAGTTGTCTCTATCAGTAATCTGTATCGTCATGGTCGTTTGGATCATAATACGGGCATCCATTACAGCACCTTTCAGAATCCGTGCCTGAACCACTGGACCTTTTGTAATCATCTGAACCATTCGACGAATAGCGCGACGTGTCATCCGAATTGAATCGGCTGTCGTAAACAGCCTCAGCGTATTCCGAAGTTTCGAAATTGTCTTCGGCGTGGTCCGACCTTTCGGATTTGCTTGAACAACCTGCGCTATCGTTCCTTCTGAGAATTTTAGCGAATTTCTTTTTCGCTCTTCTTTGTAATAATTTTCTTTTTCCCATGGTATTTGGAGATCTATTCAAGAGTGAGATGATGAGTGTGAATGTGTATGCGACATAAATGCTACAGAAACAAAAAAAGAGAACAAAAACGAGGAAAGCAAACGAAAATATATATGAATAGTATTCATGTATGGATCGACCGGGCTGTTCTTTCTGAGTCAAAACGTTTTTATGGCTTGAGATACCTTTCATCGATGAAACTTGTTCTTACCCTGGTCGAGAATTGATTCTTGCCCTCTAACGCTGTGCAGCAAAATATTCTCTAGCGTGAAAAGCCTCTAATACTGAGAGAATTCGGAAGAGGGGCACAAAATTAAAATCTCGGTTTAGAAAGAAATTCACGATTTAGAAAAATGCCATTTACCACTTTTGTCATTATGGCCTTCCCAACTTTGAAGGCAGTATATTTTCTCTGTCCCAGTGTTTGGTTATCTTGGGAGATGCCCAGTTGGTTAAATATGAGATTTCAAGGTCTAGACCTGAACTAACCAACTTGAAGTAACTTAACCCTTTTTCCAAACGAGGAATAACATGAAAAATAAATATCAAACGTCGCGTTTTTCAAATTTGATTATACTCCATCTGGTCCCAGTTGCTCGAAGGTTGGATAACGCTATTTATTGGATAAATCTCTCTGCAGTGGATGGCGTAGTATGCCGGTTTTGCCATCACTTAACTGCTGGAATAGCGATTTAGCTATTGGATAGCGTTACCTTAGTTTTCTGCCCTTAAAACAACATGGCCCTGGAGTGCACTTCACCTGAACAAGTTGATCATATCTACAGCCTCGAAAGGACCGGCTTTCTTGGCTGTAACATCATTGCTTACGTCGCCATTCTTTAAAGCACCAGCTCGAGCACGTAAGGGAAAGTACAGGACAAGGACCATAAGGAACAAGCAATGAACGTCACCCATTTGACAGTGGACTTTTTTGCTCTCTCTATATAGCTAATGGAAAGGAACAAAACATAAAAAAAAATTGAATGAAGTAGAGAAAGTAAGTTTTAAGAACGGATTGATTAATTTTAACTGAGAGGCCGCGCTTTCTTTGGGTTTACCAGAATGTCTGATAACCCACGCAGTATGTCGAAAAACAACGATGGAAGTCACGAGTTGATCATGAAGGCAAACGACTTCGTCACAAACTGTAGAGGCGAGCCTGATCATTGCGACCAGTTTTCCTCTGCTCTTGTGGTCAGGTAGCTGCACAAGGTTCCAGTAATACTATTAATTTGTAGACCATCGAATAGCAATAGCAGCAGCAGCGTGCAGATAGAATTAAACGCAGAAGAATATAATAAATCTGTGATTCACATATTCAAACTATATCACATCTAACGAAACAACGCTGATAATCGGTGCAATCAAGGGATGGCACGATATTTGCACGCGGGATCGTAACTGATCAAAAGCGTTGCTTGGATAGAATTGACAAATAAACTACTGCAGAACTGTACCACGAAATTTTTACGAGGAGATAAACCTAACAAACCTTGACTTCCTTTAGGTAACGCTGGCACAAGCAGAGTTACGACTGAGGAAGAATACTAATTCTACCGCGAAGAATAATTACAGTAACCAGTTATTTGCTAAGGCTTTGGTTGCTTGGAAGTGGAAATCTTCCCGAAAGCGTGTGTCCTTGAGTCTAACCAATTAGGGCAAGATTTCTGTCGGCTATATTGCATGAATGCCACTTACAAGAATTAAATAATGACGAGCTGATATTTATATACAAAGGAAGATCTATTTCATTCAATTTTTCAATTTGTAAATATAATTTGAGGGAAGGGGGCTAATGCATGATCTTATGCGCTTTGCAAAAAGTCTCTTTTGTTAGTACAACAACAAGATGGTGGAAACAGCTTTTTCAGGTACAGTGTATCAGTGGTCGCGTCTCATATGAAAGGTCTGTCGTCCTTGTCTGGTCTTGTCAACAACGTCAAAATGCCAATCTATTGCAGCTGCCATTGCGGAGTTTCTTTTTCTTTTCAGGTGCGTACAGTTCACTCTCTTGGCAACAGTCGCCCATCATAGAGTGGGTTTTAGACCACACATATCGAGATCCCAAGCCACTTTTTAAGGCCTATTTTGATTACCGCAATATCAAAATTTTCCCGTTTGTTTCAGTTTCGCCATACTGAACAAACCCGTTAATGAAACATACGTTTCCGTTCAAGATATATTTGCTCTCTGTACCGGATCCGGAGTTATTAAAGTGATGAGTGTCAGTTGTTACAATTGGTGTTGAAATTAAATAAGGCTGGTTTGAAAATGGAAAGATAAGAAATGAGTAGCTATGACTAAAATGCAAAGTTTACTCACCTTTGAATGAGTTCGATGTTGAAAATCTTGAATCGCTCAGTAATATATTCTTTCATCGTGCACTGTCTTAACTAAATTTTTCACCATACTGTCTTTGCGTCTTAATATTTCTAGTCCCTATTCAGTCTTTCCAGCAGAATTGTCCGAAAATATGACTGAGATGTCCATCTTAATTTCCTCTTATTGCAATCTCAAAAAGAAATGGAACCATCCACCCTGTCAATCATATCAGGTTAAAAATCATCAACACAGAGAAGAGATTCACACGAGTAGTGCTAACATCTTAAACCTTGTACCCAGTTCAACCGCGTTTCTGATGGCTGTGGGAAGTCCAAGATGGCCAAGTTACTTTTTATTCTAATGTCAGCACGCATTAGGATAAGGGAGTTAGAGGTCACTGTCTTTTTTCCATACCTTTTTGCTCCTTTTTAAGACTGTTACACTATTAAATTGCATAATCCATCACCTCTTTAATGAGAAATCCAAAAACAGTTCCGAAGTAGGTGGTGATGATGTGTACCAACCGAGAGAAAATGAGCAATCAGAGAGCTAAATTCAGGACGTTAGCTGGCAAATGTTTATTTCACTAATAAGAGTTCATTTCAGTTTTCAACAGAAAAAGAGTTCTACAATCCATGAAGTCAACACCTCTACTTCAGTTCTATATCGAAGGCTTTCCGTATCAACAAAACTCATCTCTACATTGTTCTTTTGTTATAGTTTTTACACTCAGAAGATCATATCAAGGTTACCCTTTATGAGAATTCGAACTATCCATATTTAACCACGTGGAATCATGATTCTCATATCGAAAGCTCTGGACCTGAAACCACCCTCCCTGTGCCATAACTTTGTCTTGTGGTCATTTAGTTTACTCAAAATGACATTGCAAATTACATTATATGCCAGTTATAATAATAAAGAGTTACCAAAATGAATGAAACTCTTCTCTCTTGAATGAAATTTTTAATAAAGAGTTGGCTTCCAAATGCTACCCCTTCACAATGTGTTCAGGCTAGGCCTAGCCACAAGTTGCCGATGAATCCCAAAAAATTTGCCGATAAAAGTGTCTAAAAGTTGCCAAAAAGTTGCTATTTTTTTCAAAAAGTTGCCGAAAAGTTGCTGAACTTCCAAAAAGTTGTCGAAAAGTTGCCTCTTCTGCTTTTCGTACTTTTTTGGGTGTTAAAGATTAAAAATTCGCACATTGCTTCTTATCAAAACTTTATTTGTTAAAAGTCCGATGATAATATCAGAGGTTCTTTCCATTTCACTTGATCAACAAATATTCACTGTAATTGCCTGCCATCTTGAAAAACGTGCAACGTGATACCGCTGACCTCTCAATAAGGCATCACAAAAATCAACCCATGGGGGGGGGGGCTAATTGTTGTATTTTGGAATAAATTGAATAAATGTCTATCGAAAACTGACCAATGTGGCTCAAAACGTGAAGAAAGTGGTTTCAAAGAACCTCAAAAAGCCCAAAGTTTCCGAAAATTCTAAAAGTTGCCAAAATTCTAAAAAGTTGCCGAAAATCTCAGAAGTTGCCGGAAATTTGCCGAGCAACTTGTGGCTAAGCCTAGGACGGGCATGGCTTTAAGACTACAACGATTTCCAACACCCAAAGCGTTCGTAAGCAAGAGTATTACAGATTCCCCGACTCGGAATCTTTCGGATGTACACAAAGTTCCTTACACTGGGCTCGGGATCAAAAACCAAGCCAAAATTGTAATCATGATCATGTGATTATTGTTGAGGGACGAAAACAAAGGGAGGTGCGAGCTAGGTGCAATATTGTCAGCATGAAGAAAGGGAAATGTGATCAAAATGACAACAGGGTAAACTCGTAGATATAATGAGTGGAATGCAGTATATTTGGATATGCAGTGATTGCACAGTGATTGATCAGTGATTGCACAGTGACAGCGCTGTGATTGCACAGTGATTGATCAGTGACTGCACAGTGACAGCACTGTGACTGCACAGTGATTGATCAGTGATTGCACAGTGATTGATCAGTGATTGCACAGCGATTGATCAGTGATTGCACAGTAATTGATCAGTGAGTGCAAAGTGATTGACAAGTGATTGCACAGTGATTGATCAGTGATTGCACAGTGATGGATCAGTGATTGCACAGTGACAGCACTGTGATTGCACAGTGTTTGATCAGCGATTGCACAGTGATTGATCAGTGATTGCACAGTGATTGATCAGTGATTGCACAGTGACAGCACTGTGATTGCACTAAAAGCCAATGATCCTCTGAGTATTGAGTCATCACCCCCTCAAAAGAGGGTCTTAATGGGGTGATGGCTTTTACGGCATACATTTAAAATTTTGGCCATTTTACGACTAACATTTAACATCATTTCACTGTTGTTAACAGAATTTTTTTTACGGTTATTTTTTTTTTTTCGTTTATGGGTTAAATTTTTCAGTTTTTACGCCTAACTGTTAAATTCCTTGGTGCACCGTTTTACGGCTAACAGTTAACCCCATTAAGACCTCAAAAGTCATGCCAATTGTTCCAATCGGTCAGAAATCTAAGATGCAGGCTTTCCCAGGATACTTAAGGCCGTGCTAGCACCGCAAAATTTGCATGTTGAATCCCCACATCACTCTTCTCCATGCTTCATGCTCATATGCCCCGCGTAAAAATTTGAGACGAACCCATTTCCTAATTCAAATCAGCTCAGATCTTTTGTGGTTTTTGGATGAAAACAACTAAAATTCCATAAAATGAGCCTTGTTTTCGTGGTTTTTTTTTTTTTTTGCATCTTTTAGTCGTTGAATTTCGACGTTTGCTTTTTAATTCAATGTTTTTATGCGCATATTTTGTTTTCCTATATGCTCAGCTTCAATTATTGCTCGTCTGAAAAGTTTTTCATCTGGCTTTATTCTTACTCTGCTGATATAATCTCATGAAGGTTCCTAAAGGAAAATACGTTTTCTATCACCCTTCAGATATGGAGGATTTTTAAAGACCACACAGCTTTTCAAACCCTAGAAGTAGCTCAGTTAATAACTTTTTTCCCTTCTATTTTGATCAGCGCCACGATCCAACCCCATCGGTGCATTCATCATAGCAAACATTTTTTTTTGCTACGGTAAAAACGCAGCTTTCTAATCTATCTTCCTTTGGACTGCCTCGAGGTTTTACGAACTGGGTCTAAAAGTCTCTTATTATATAAACACCTCTGGAATACCAGGTGAGCTCTCGCGCGAAAACGTGACATCTTCACACTTAAAAAAGTATAACATGTTATCTTCACATGTGAAAACAACACCACTTCTAAAGTTACATAATAAATGGCGCCTTTCGCTGCAAAAGTGAAACGGTTTGATTTTTCATCGGTGTTTACAAAAATAACTACCATATTATATGGCCATTTGGAGATACGAAATTTCTCTTTTCGTGTTGAAAAAGTTTTCACTCATCCTAAGTGGCGCCTCTTCGAGTTAAGCTTTCGATCTGAAGGCTTCTATGCCGTCGCTGACGATTTGCCAAACATAAACGATCATTCGCTCTGAAGAAGGATACGAAAGGACAAAGCTTGAAAAGTCTCCTTTTACAGTGGCCAATGTACATTATCAACTCAGTTGATAAAACCAAATTAGTAGATGAGGCTTGCCCTTCTCGTGGTACCCAGTTTCTTCGCTACCTTATTTCTTAGAGCATTAAACCGAAATGGATAGGCACTGAGGGGCTTTATGGTGAAACATTCAATCGTTACAGTTTTTAGTGTTTTAGAAAGTGAGCCTTGGCCAACACAATGGGGAATAAATGAGCAAAACCACAAATAAGGCTCTTATAAAGGCAGTTCATCAGATCAGAGCCAATCATTCTCTCAACCATTTTGGAAACTAAAAATATGGAAACTGGAAATATTCAGTGAAGGATGGAGGCAAATGGATCTCATCAGAGTTAAATAAATAAGCTTATAAACAGTCAATCACTGATCATGATGGCGCTCTAGCTAAATAGGTGACTGTTATTTATCGCGGTTACCGGGCGCCACAATATTTACTTGAACTTGCTCAGCTTGAGCTTAAAACTCGGAGATAAATCAGGCTGGAAGAAATTTCTTGTCATGATTTGAAGTTGCCATGCTGGGTTCGATGTATTTGTGAAAGTAATTCAGATACTGACGAAATGATATCGAAGGCTGTACTTGGCTTTAAAGGAGTCTTGAGGTGATTACATTTATCTCAAACAGGAACACCGCGAGCATTCGAAGGTCACTAGATAAAAGTCCATGGGGAGGGAAGATGATAATCTCATTTTATCATATCACAGGAACCCATTAGAATGGAAACATAACTAATTAAAAAAATCAGTGGAATAAAGGGAGAAAACTTTGTACTTTAATCCGTTCGCTCATCGTCCCCAGTTTCGACCCCTAAATGTTAGCCAAAAGAGTCATCCATTTTAAAATTCAAAATGATTCCATGCGTTTAGATCAATGGATATTCGAGAGAAAGTTGCATGGTTTTCAAGAGATAATTGAGTAAACTGTATGAGCAGAAGTCGAACAAAAAAGAGAATGTTAATCGAATCTGAAGGTTGCCAGGGTGACATCTTTCCCAACAGTCCATTGGACCCAAAATACTTTCCTACAGAAACTCTTTACGGCTAGAAGAAGATTTAAGATCCCAAAAACTATTGGCAAACTAGGCTGGCGGTGTTTAAGTCTGCTTGGGTCATGGTTGAGAAGGGAATTTCTTGAAAGAATGGCTGATAAAACTATTTTCAATTCCAGGGTAAATAAATTACTCAGTCGATAATACACATGCAAAAATTCTAACATGCTCATTGGCTGAGAGCACTCCAATTAATCCCAAACATTTCAGAAAGTTGAAATTGATTGTAGAAAGTTGAATTTAAATTGATTGACAGGTAAGAAGCGAAAGCACAACAAAACAAAATGGCGGAAAAGGGGGCAATGACACCAAAAAACATGCAACTAAGAAGGAAAACAGAATTATAATTTTGCTTGTACTCCCGATTATTAATTAGTGATCACATGATTATTCTGGAGCAATTTGGAATAAATTGAAAAATTTGCCTGTGCTAATTTATCCCATATTTGCTGTCGAAATAAAGTGATTACCTTTATAAATAGTCATTCAGGAAGCATTGCGCAACTGCTACGAGCCAAAGTACATCCATCAGTAATGTCAAAGGCTGCGTTCATTAGGTTAGCTTGAAAAGACGAGTGGAGTGTTACACTGTTGCAGACGATAATTTGAACACACTAGTGCCTTCGAATTTTGTTTGTTTTACTACTCATTAGTAGGTCTACCAAACTGATACTGAACTACTGCGAAACACTATGGCGGCCATCGAAAATACCTCGCTGAATCTCTCCGAATTTGGTTTAAGCAACGAGACGTCCTCTCCTAAACAGTGCCTTGTTGGAATGAGTAAGGTCTCCATTGCAGTATATGTTTTCACCATTTTAGCATCTCTTATAGCAAACTCTCTTCTCATCTCGTTATGTGTAAGGAAAAAAGAAACTTGGCTGCTCTACGTTATCAACATGGCTGTATCCGACCTGCTCGTGGCAATCTTTTTACTTCCACGTTTCATTGTAAATGAAATCGCCAGGTCCAATGATTTCCTAGTTCACGGACCTGGAGGCACATTTTTGTGCAAAATGTGTAGTTTTCTGAGTGATATATCCCTGTCAGTGTCAACCCTTACCTTGGTAATGATCGCCGTTGAGCGCTTCGTGGCAGTGGTTCATCCCCTTCTGCACATAAGAATCTCAAACTCCCGCAAAAGACGCCGTCTTTTAATAGCTTTGACTTGGCTCCTGGCTGCAGGATTTCACTTGCCATATTTTTACACCTTTAAACTGGTGAGAGTAGCTGTTGGTAAGGGCGATTACATCCAAGTATGTTACTCAACCTGGGAACCAGCTTTCGATGACAACACGGGACACGTTCACTACAGCATCTTTTTATTTACGGCCGTGTTAATCCTGCCGCTACTGGTGATATCTGTTTTGTACATTGCTGTCGCTTTGCGCATTTACATTAACAGCATGAGGAAATTTCGGTTAGGAAGAGTTTCAAGAAAGAGACAAGAATCCGCCCAGAATTTACTCTGGATGGCCGTCGCTACCGTTGCAGCCTTTTTAATATGTTGGACGATGTATATTATCATTGCCTTCATCAACCTTTTTTCACCATCGGTGATGCTAACGTGTAACAAGAGTTATATGATAGCGTCTTACATAGCAAACCTATTGGCAAGTTGCTACTGTGCAGTTAACCCATGGCTCTGTTTCATATTCATTCCAGGATTTTCTCGCGTATTGAGAGCTATGATACAAAACCGAAAATTCATAGTGTCCGACGCAAGGAGTGGAAACAGATCGAGTTCGCAGGGATCAAATAAAAGCAACGTTACTATGCTTCCTTTAGAAAGTTCTATGAAGCAAGAAGTTAGAGAAAGGTATCATTTGTAATAACCATTTGTGCTAAGTGTATTGCTACATAATTGCCATGGGAAAAATGAGAACAGTTCGTTAGGTGCGAATATGGGGTGCATGCAAAGCTTATCTTATTCACCGTAAAAGTTCTGATAAGCCCTCGATAGGGTTTTGATTTCACAGGGCTTCTGGGCGGGGGTTATTAGAAAGGAAGAGCGAATTCTTTTTCTTTAGAGGCTCAGTGTGAGCCTTAATACGAGGCATTGAGGAAGGATGTTTTTCCGACTAAAAAAATAATAATTTTTCTTAGTATTCACGAGATTCATTTTGTTTAACCCTCACATTGCTCCCTATGATGCTGTACTGTCTGAGCAACAGAGAAATTTTGGTGAACCAGGTTAAGAAATAAATCCTTTCATTTAGCTGTGTCTAGTATGAACTAGGTCCAAACTAACAGACTTTTCGCTGTAAGTACAGAGTAAGGCCCAGCAGATGTTCATCAATTTCTAGACTTGGATTCACAGTTAGATGGACATAGTGCGTATATTATTGAGCCTAAAGGGGAAATAAAGTATACATGAATACATGTAATTACACATCGTAACCTTTCTACCTAGAGTTATCTATTCCTGCTTTAGTTCCAAGCAAAAGAACTTCGAAACAAACGATTTCTTCTGTCCTTTGCAGTTTCAATATACCACATATTCATTTAATTTTGTCACAAATCCACTTTGCTGAAACTAATCCATTTTCTTAAAACCGGTTATGTCATCGGTATACCTAGTGTAGAATCATACACCACTATATTGTGATTTGGTAAGAGCTAAAATTAATTACTTCGATTCAGCTTAGTCTTGTGGGGGCACCATAAAGTGACACACTTTATTTTGTACCCGTCTCGCTAAAACAATGATCATTACACTTACGATCTATTTTGCTACAAATAACAGTTCCACTTCCCCAAGGATCGTTCTCGATCTTATAGTCTAACTTCTTGAATCACCGCTTCACTTTCCTCTTCAATTTCTATATGGAAGTTCCTCTAATGACAACCTTTATAGCCAGGAAATATTTTTGCAAGACACTCAACCACTCCATACTGATTTAAATTGAAAGGGGGTAGTGACCATCCAGGTAGTGACCAACCATTCTCTTGTGTGGAACGAGGATCTATTATGGGTTCAGTTGGACACTTCGGAATATACCAATGTGAGCCTGAGTCTTCCATTGTCTTTTTTTTTCTCCATAAGCACGAACTAAAACCACTCTACGGCCTCTTGATGATTTGCATGCCACGAGCTTCATTCCTAAACGAAACAAAAACAGCTGCTTTGCCTATCAGCTAAACTATAGGTGGTTTGCAACCAATCTCTAGAGACACAGGTAACAATGGTGAAAGGGAAAAATGCTGGTGGACGACCAAAAGAAGCTAATGAGATATCTATTGTTTACGTCTACCAACATGGCGGCAATGACGTAACGTGCAAACCACCTATAGTTTATTTTCCGTGATTTTGCGTTCCGAGTGCTATCTTCGCGCGTTCCTACTTCCACCCTGAATTCCAAAGTACCATTCTTGTAAAGGAGACTTGAATAATTACGCCCTTGTAAGAATGACCTCTGCGTAAAATAGCAATATGGTGTTTTTCTGGATGTTTTACGATGCCCAGCCATTTCTTAGAAGGGAGGAGGAAAAAAACAGGCTTGGACAAGCCTATTTATGAGAAACTGGCAGAATCTTGCAAGAGCAGGGGTGTTTCAGACCCAAGGGGTTTGGGAGGCGGCAGAGTCGTGCGAGAGCACAGGCATTTTAGACCCAAGGGATTTGGGAGGCGATTCTTGCCCAAGGGCCCCTGCGTTGGGTGTGAACATTTAACTTAATGATTGTGAGGGGCCAGGCTAAGTTTAAAGTCTCTGCGAGTATGTGCTTTTGTTGTTTCACAATTAACACTTCAGTTTCTTAGTTATTATAAAAAGAATTTTACGCTCAAGGCCTTCCAGCAGGCCTTACTTAAATCATTTGAAACCCAAGTTCCTCAGTTTCGATCTCACTAACAACATATTTGTGATCCTTGATTGTTTCAGATCTGAACCGTGAAGTAAAATGCAGCTCTGACCAAAAGCAGTAAGTAGTGGATGGTGAAGTATATCTTACTTTTTATGACGCTGGAGCTGTGATGATTTAAAAAGAATGGAAAACTCTTCAATTTTCGCTTTCGTTGTTGGGTTTTGTTTTGTTTTTACAAGGGTAAACGTATCTCCTTTTTGATCACTGGATCTGTTCGTTCCAGCCATTGTTCTAAGTATTTTTACCGTGTACGTACAAATTTTAAGATCATATTATTGGAACATTCAAGAGTTGTAAGACCAGAGTCCTTGAAGGAAATATCAAGACTTAAATTAAGAAATACATGTTGGCATTTTTAGCTTATGAGACTTTGTTTAACTGACGGTAATGACCATAGATTTCTTCGAACTTTATTGTTTAAAAACTGTTCGCATCTCAGAATAGGTAATATTTGAATACAAATTTCAAGTATGGCACAAGCTAGTAAAAAATCGGATGATGTTATCTAATGTTATAGCACTTGAACAAGTGTATCTTGTATTGGCCCTTCTCTTGCTAAAATAACGCGCGTAAGACCTGACGATTTTTTTTCTTTCTCATCCTGTTTTGTAGACATTTGCTTTAAGAACTTATAAAATGGTTGCCGTTATGTGGCCCTATATTTCTGTCAAACGCTTTTCTCTGAAAGGCTGTAATTTTGAAGTTTAGTAAGTTATTGGACTGTAATTGAGATTACCTTGAAAAGATTCTTTGAGTAGTTTAAAAGTAATTACACATATCGAAAAGGAACATGGCGAGAATTTAGGTAACGAGATACGGGTCCTGGGGAAATTAAGATTATGATCCATTTACCATAACACAGAAACCCATTAGGGAGGAAAGTCGCTAACTTATAAAAAATAGAAGCAAACCCCTTTAGCTTATTCGTAATGTTCTGCTCTCGTCTACTGATTCCAAGATACATAATACTCAAAAATTAAGTGATAAATAGTACTCAAAGATATCAATGCTTTCTAGTCCTTGAATAGCGTTGTGCGATTAAAAAAAATCGATTCTATATATTGCGAAAGCACACGATACTCGTACCTTTATCATTAGAAACTCGCGTTCCTCGAAACGCATAGCTCTCCTAGTGCCTTACTCTTATAAAACTGTTCGAGAACGAAGGTCGATGTGAATCAGGTGCCATGATAAATATCCCGATGAGTATGGCTGCCGAAAAACCTGATTTGATTTCAGAGTACACGGCTGCGATTGTGGTCGGTAAAAAATCATAGTTAATTACTGGTTTTTAAGGAAAACAAAAGATATGAAATCGATACTGACATATTTATCTTTTAGTTAGAATTTTGCAAATGGCTGGGTGTGTTTACCGGCGTCACACATCACCCTCAGCTAAATGTATGTGAGCAGCGTTGACTTCCTGACGGAAATTTAAATAATAACAATAACAAAGTTTTTAAACGCACACGCAAAGCTACTTTTCTATTCATTAGAATTTCGGTTTTGCCTCATACTTTACGCTGTCGTCGTCGTGGTTTCCTTAAGGTCCCTAATAATCGAAGAAATAAAAATAAGAAGACAAAGATTCCTACAAACGTTGTGTAAGGCCTAAACCGGCGTTGGACGCAAAAACGGCAGAGATCGAAAACGTGATTACGGTTATCTTAGAAACTTAAACGCGAATGTTAAAAACCAACAAAGAGGCCTAGACGAGTCACGAGGTCACAAAAAACACATATGTGGAAAAAATATAACAGAATTGAAATTACGTTGAGCAAAACTGATAGGGAAAATGTCCATACGTTTATGTTAATGAGAAAACATGAAAAATTTTTTGCTTGATATGTGGGTGCAAACAGTAAATGTTTTTTTGAGCGATTGGAGGGAATTTCATTCATTGCCCGGCTTGAAACATTTTTAGTTTTCCGAAAAAGTGGGAAGATGCTTTTTCAGCCTTCGTTGTTCTCTTTGCCTTGCAACAATAATAAAACCCTGTCCTCTAGAATGAAGTTTTACTCGAAACGTTCAAAGCCCATAGAACGAAATGGGTTTCAAATGGAGAAAGTCGCTTTGGGCATAAAACCGTAAATTCTCAAGTATATCGAGAGGTGTTCAGACCAATCGCACACGAGGGAAGATATCTGGCGGAATATAAGAATTAAGAATATTTTCTATATCAGTTGAGAAAAATAAAAAAAATCACTGCAGTTTTCAAATGGGTGTCGCAAGGGAGCCGGGTTTGATTGATTTTTCCATGCTGCGCTACATCATTTGTCTGTAAGACGCGCGCAACCCCTTACAACCAATCAGATGCAAAACTTGAAATACTCAATACTGAGTGATCCATGTTTTAAAGCTCCTCAGGCAGGTGACTTTTTTTCGCTTTGAATCCTTTTTGTCCCCGCTTAATATTTGAGTTCGTTTCTTATTCCATCTTAATGATTGTGCGATAGAAATTGTTCGGTACAACCTTCAGGAAGAGCTATTCGCAACGCAATATAAAATGTATATTTGTTTTGCTCAAAGTGTTGGCTTTTTACGGTAGCTTCTGTAGAAATACCTAAGGGGTTACTGTGAGACATTCGCACGAGTCGTTTGATTATCTTAGTAGATTATCCGAGCGACTCCAGCTGAAATGATTTTAGAAAAACATTGTAAGGAGTTACTTAAGATGTACACCTTGATACCCGTTGGTGCAATATTTAGTCGAGGAAATATTTTATTTTATACGAGGGAGAGTGGGGCGGGGCGAACTATTTGGACAATTTATAACCAACTTAGAAGTGGCCTTCTTTGCTGATGGCACAAGCTAACAAATGCGGTCTAATACGTTACCATTTATTATTTATTGATAACACGAATTTACCCGTTTGCCCTTTGTGGATTACATGGGTTGCTCGCATGAAGTACTCCCAAAACCTTAAAAATATATCTTTTGTTAATTTGGCCTCACTTTTGTGAATGAGCTAACGAAGTTCAAACTAGTAAAGTACTGATGTGGTCCAACAGATCTTCGTGGTGGCTATCAGACAAGTCATTCTCAGGATGATTATAGTGTGTTCTGATATTTTCAGACAGATCCTCATAGTCGTTCGTTCTCAGGATAATCATGGAGGGTTCTAACGTTTTCGGAAAGATCCTTTGGAGCACTGTCAGAAAGTTGGTTCTCAGGGTAATCACGAAGTGATGCAATTGTTTGGGAGAAATCCTCACGGGCGTTGCTATAAATTTTGTTCTCAGGATATTTACGGAGTGATCCAATGTTTTCGGACAGATCTGCCTTGGCGTTATCGAAGAACTCTTTCTCAGGGTAATCACTTAGAAACTCGATGTTTTCGGTCAGATCTTCATGGGCGCTCTTGGAGAGCTCTTTGTCAGGGTAATCCCTCAGGGATTCGATGTTCTTGGTCAGATCTTCATAGGCGCTATCGGAGAGCTCTTTGTCAGGGTAATCACTCAGAGACTTGACGTTTTCGGACAGATCTTCGTTGTCGCTATCGGAGAGCTCTTTCGAAGGGTAATCATTCAGAGATCCGATGTTTTCGGACAGATCTTCGTTGTCGCTATCGGAGAGCTCTTTGTCAGGATAATCACTCAGAGGTCTGATGTTTTCGGACAGATCTTCGTTGTCGCTATCGGAGAGCTCTTTCTCAGGGTAATCACTCAGAGGTCCGATGTTTTCGGTC